TATTTCGTGTCAGTCCGAATGTCACGGTTCATCTTAAACGCTTGACGGTGAATCACACGGCGTAATGAATTCAATAAGATTCGCGACCTCGGAGACGCCGAGTTTCTTCTTGACCCGCACGTGTTGGTCTTCATCAGAACTCCTGACCCTTTTGACCGTGCTGTGTTTACATTAATGGGCCTTAAAAGCTCCTTTGGCTGATCTTCAGAGAGAGACGAGACGCGTTAATGTGTGAAGGAGTTGGACCGCTTATTTAACGCCAGAGATTTCTGTGTTTTTTTGCCTTTTTTTTTTTTTTTTCTTTGATCGCCGCTTTGAAGTGGGCAAAAAGATGATGTCCTGCATTTCAACATCTATCAGAATATAAAGATGTAACAGTCGCAATCTGATCATTTCATCGGCCTACAAGCGCAATCTCGGTTGTTGAAATTCAATCGTACAGCCGAGCCCCGATCTTTTTCATCGCCAAATTTTGGGTTTATGATAAAAGTTTATTTAACCAGTAGGGGTTTTTTCTGGCTGGAAATAAGAAAAAGAAGTGACAAAAGATGGTAAAACCCAGTGTTGTGTTGGTGTTAATGACAAATCTGGACTATTTGTGTGCTTTTCTTTGTATTTTTTACTAAAAAATGCAACTCCCCTGCTTCAAATTGAATACTTTTTTCAGAAAATGCAGCCTCTATTCCAATCCAATCACTTCCAGCATATTCTGGAGCGTTCTCATGCTCCATAAACCGACACCAGCAGTATCATGGCTAGAACCAAAGGGCCTGGTGAGTTTCTTATTAGGGTCCATCACCGAGAGGAGCTGCACCGTGTGGCTGCTCGGGAGACGAGCAGAAGTCACATTCAAGTGTTTTCAAGTGTCAAGAGGCCGCGGTGCAAAGTGTCGTCGAAAAAGTACAAGGAGTTCCACGCTGGGGAGAATCTCAGCGAGCTGCCGGGAAGACAAAAGTGACTCCTGAGCCGGCAAGAATGGAAGAAGAATGTAAACCAGCTCTGGTGGCGACGTCTCAATTAGACGCCGAACGAGGCTGGTCTCCACGGGGGATCGGCTGGATGAGAAGGAAAAGCTTCTGGTCGACAGTTTGGTGGTCGGATGAGGTGAAAATGAAGTTGTTTGGTTAAAGAAAGTAGAAACCCCAAGAGCACCATCCAACCAGAAAACCTCATCAGAGCAAACAGCGTCGTTAGAAAAGAGGACGGCGTGAAGATTCTGGAGGACAACATCATTCATTCTGCAGAAAGAAACGCATCCTTGGGGAGCATCGGGCCTTCCAACAAGAGGTGAAGAAACAGAAACAATGCGAAGACGTTAAAGACCGTCGAGAATGTGTGGAGGAGCTGAAGAGCAGAGAGGAAACCTTCAGCCCCAAAGAGAGGAGGAACAAAAGCCCAGAGGAGACGAGCAGAAAGACATGAGCGAGTCCAAGAACTGTTTAACTGAAGACGAAGACTTCTTTTGGACGCACAGATGATCATTAACATCACAGACACAATGTTTGTCTTTTATCTCTCATTTGTGTCAGTTCCATACATGAATCCCTTTAAATGAAAAATTGGCACAAGCATAAATAACGTTCACTGTATATGGTTGCATAAATGTTTAATTCTCAGTTTAAAGCCGTAGCAGCGTTTTCCCAGGGGAACATATCCGCCTCTTTAGCAGACAAACACCAACTAGCTTCACTAATTTGGGCTTTTTCTCGGCTCCGAACGGTTCTCTGAGGAGCGACTATGCATGACTGTGAGTGTTTAGCAGAAATCTATGCGTTTCTCAACATTTTCTAAACATCTATGAGTTTAAAGAAAAGGCACATTTTCTTTTATTCCAAGTTTTGATGCAACAAGTTCCACCAAACGAGTCTTCCCTCGTACATCCTCCCCTCATGGCGACCAGCTGTTTGTTGGACTTTTCCCGTAATCAGCATCGTTCGGCGGCGCCTGACCCTTAAATTTATGAACCTCCTCCCGATGTGGTCCGAGAGGTAATTACATCTGCCGGCGGAGAACGAGACACGTGTTCGTCCTTCTTCTCTCAGCAGGGCTCAGTTACTCAACCTGACTCGGCCGCTGTGTGTGTCTTGTTTAAACAGCGCTAATTGGCACTCTCGAGTGTCTCCAGTCCACCTTTCCTGGAGTGGCTTCTGTGTCGCCACTTTCTCAGACTGACAGTCGATTTAAAGCCGCCGTCGTCCCCCCCTACCACCTCCATCCCTCCATCCCTCCTTCTCCTTCAGCAGCTGTTGCCAAGGACATTATCAGACCCCCTAACGGAATATTCCCAAAGGCTAATTCGCCCATCTTCCTCTCGCACTTTATCTAACAGCCTTCTCGCAGGAAGGTGGATGCAATAAGTGCTTCCAGGTGTCATTTAAATTCAGCCTGACTTCAAATGCCACAGGAGCTGCTGCGGTAAAGCATCTCTGCTCTGAAAAAAATGTAAAAAAAAATGTGCCAACCTGTACGTATTTAACCGGCGTCTTGTAAGACACCTGTGCGCTCGACCCCCGGTGTAGAAATCAGGAGTTAAAAATCGCTTTTAAGTGTCGTCTCTCTTGGGGATGTTGGCTACACTTTTTTTTTCTCAACAAAGGTGTTTTTCTTGTACAACAAAGGCGCAACCTTGATTAAGCGGGCCTGCTTTAGTCTGAATGGAAGCGTGTTTTAATCACAGATCCTGGATGCGTCCGCGCCTCTTTAATGAGGCCTCCTCCAGCTGGAAGGCTGTCGGCGCCGCCGCTTTGATCAGCGGCCCGCGGACGGCGGATTACACCGCTAACACGCAGCGCTAATGGAGCCGCGAGCCGAGAAACACAAACACGCGTCGAAGCAGACGAACACGGATTCTAATTTAGGAAATGTACGTACGCTCAACCTCTGGAGAGGCCACGGTCGCCTCTAATTCAGCCCGTCGTGTTCATCTGCCTGGGTCGGTCGGAGGCAAATTAGAGTTCATAAAAACACACATTTCTGATGTTGACATGATTTCTGACCATTTTTATAATTTGTTTTTATAGTCATGTAATTTCACACCTTTTTTCTGTCAGCCTGTGAAAACAATTTACCAGTTTTCAACCCTCATTATACGGTTTTTAACTTCAAACAACTACAAATATCAATAAAATAATATGTTTTGTTCTGTACTTTTGAACAAAAATGTGTAATTTTATGGTCAAACGTTGCACAAGAATGAATTATTATTTTATAAATGCTCATGTTTGATGTGGACGTTACTGACAGTTCTGATGTTTGGTTGTTTTTACAGTCAACATGTAACTGAATAGTTTTAAAACTGAACATCTGTAGGAAAAAAAACCTGTTTTAAAAAAAAATGATTTGCCCTGTTTCAGTCCTTAGTATAGTGCAGATGAACTGGCACATATCTGCAAAATATTACCTTTTTAACAATACTGTATAAAAAAGAGAAAAAAGAAGAAGTTTAATTTTATGTTCAAACATTGTAAAAGAAAAAAAAATCCCCATTTGATCAAAATCACATCATTTAAAGTTTAGTTTTTCATTTGTTTTTACAGTAAACAATAAATGTACGACTTTTTTTCTGTAATCAGAATGATTCTTGAAAAAATTATTTCCCATTTTTCAGTTCTTAACATACATACGTTTTCAGAAATAACTGAAAATGTCTGTAAAATATTTGCTGATACTGTAAAAGAATGCATTAATATTAAGAAAAATAAACATTTTTCATTGGCAGTTTTTAATCCTTTGTATACTGCAAATATACTGGTTAATAACTGGAAGATAACAAGGCTTTTTTTTTTTTTTAAAACACAGTATTTAAAAAAAAAAATGTAATCATGCAGTCTGACACTGTAAAAGAAAACATTTGGAGATTGTTTGTTTTCTGTATTTCTATATTTGACCTTTTTTTTTTTATAGTTAACATGTAATTTAAGCCTTTTTTGTAATTAAAGTGTGATGACTGTTGAAAATAAAATCATTTACCAGTTTTCAGTTCTTAATATGAAGAATTTTTCTTTTAAATACCAGCAACTATCTGTAAAATAAGATTTTTTTCTTGATTTAAAAATATTTTTTAAAAAACGAGCAATAGAGTAGAAAAGCAAAAATAGTGTAATTTTGCAGTCAAATACTGTAAAAGGATGAATTTAGAAATATAAAAATGGAAAACATTTGATGTGGTCATTACTTACAGTTCTGACCTGTTTTTTTTTTGTTGTTGTTGTTGTTTTTTTTACAGTCAATGTTTATTTTATTTGCATTTTTTTCTGTGTGAACCTGAGAATATATGTAAACCAATTTCAAAAATGTTTTACTGATTTTTAATCCTGAGTATTTCTAATTTTTGCCTCCAAACAACTGCAGATATCTGCAGAAAGCGTCTTCCTCTAACTCGTCCCATTGTGTTTGGCCTCTTTCATCTGCCTGCTTCTGGGTTGACTGAGTTTCAGGCTCGACGTTGGAAGTCTTTGCCAAAGATCGCTCAGAGAGAAAGGTCCAAAGCTCGACGCTGACACGCAGCCCAAACTCCAGAGACTAATGGCTTGTAGCTCCCAACATATGTTGTTTTGTGTAATTGCTTTAATTGCTGTCATTGTACGTAATGGTTGGTCTTTTTCATCTTCCCTGGTGGTGTAGGCATTCTGCTAATTATATCTGTCAGCCCTGCAGCCAAAATGAGCGTTTCACTGTGAATTCGGAGCAGTGGGAACTTTCAAATCAGTGTTTCTGTAAACTGTTGGTGTGTGTGTGTGTGTGTGTGTGTGTGTGAGTAAATGACTGACTGCTGGGTGTGAGAGTAGCTAATGAATCATTAGGCTGCTCCTGGAGCTGTTTAATGGAAGTGGGGTCGTGACTTTACTCATCAGCCGAGTCTGAACTTTGACCCGCGTGTTCTTTTCTCTGCTTTTTAACTCGGCGAGGTTAAAATTTACAATTAAAAGTGGAAACTCAAATGCCAATAAAAAAAAAAAAGAAATAACATCTAAAAGCAAAAAAACTGTTGTTGTGTGCAGGTACGACACCATCACCAACCAGTGGGAGACGGTTTCTCCTCTGCCCAAGCCGGTCCACTCGGCGGCGGCGACGGTGTGCGGCGGGAAGGTCTACGTGTTCGGAGGCGTGAACGAGGCCGGGCGCTCGGCGGGCGTCCTCCAGTCCTTCGTGCCGCAGAGCAACACCTGGAGCTTCATCGAATCGCCCATGATAGGTGAGACGGGCGGCGACGCTTTCTGGTTTGGGGTTGTTGTTTTTTATTTATTTCACGAGCCCCAAGTGAGGAGATGTTTCTGTTGGTAGCTTCACTTTTTGCCTCATGACGGAGTTGTTTCCTGTTTTTCCTGAGATTTTTTATTTTTT